TCCGCGGGGAGTGGAGCTCTGGCGAAGATTTCGGCAGCGTAACGTACTGACCGGGGGAAGCTTTTCTCCAATGGAAAGACAGCTCTCGGGGGATTTGATGAAGTCGAAGAAAAGAGAAGAAGTTGCTTTGAGACAAAAGCCAAAAATGGTGGATCTCTCAGTCATAAAGAAGCTATTCGAAGGGCCCTCCAACAATCCGAAATCGGAAAGGGACGTTCTCGCGATTGCTCTTTCCTTCTTTGNCCGACCGGTCAGCTCGGACGGCTGTCGGTCGCCTGGGTCGGGGGTCAGTCGGCGATTTTCGACCGACCTTTTGATTTTTGAGATTTTGAGGGCTTCATTGATTTTCAATTGATTCTACAAGATATTTTAGATTTTCCGTTTTTTTTTAAATTAAAATTTCAAAATTCTGACTTCCCAATGTGCAGAGTTTCCTCACATTTTTCTTGAATTTAGAATTTTTTTATTTTTTTTTAAAATTCCAGAATTTTCAGATTTTTGGAGTATATTTCAAAACAATACCAATCTTTTTGAATCAAATGATTTTCATAAACAGAAATATTGAAAGTGTAATTTTTCAAATTCACCTGCTTTGATAATTAGAACTTTTTGTTCCTGGGAGGCTGAAATTTTTGTCCTTTAAGATAATTTTTTCTGAAAATTGAGGGGCTTTTTTGGTTTTTTAGGTTATAATTGAATTTTTTTTTGAATTTCTTTGAACAATATTGAAAAAAAAGGATGAAAGTGCTATAAATTTTTTTCCGTTTCCTGAGTCTCGATATTTTTCTTTTAATTTTATTTCTAATCTTGTAACTCTATATATTTTCAAAAAATGCTCTACACTAATCAAACTGCCGAGGAGCTTGATTCCCTTTATCGATGTACAACTGATGGAATTTTTAATGCTCAAAATTCGATTTTTATGAAAATTAATTTTGTTTTCTCATTTTCTTTATCTTTCTGACATTTTTTGTCAGTTTTTGGGCATTTCGAGTGCTGAAATTTCATAATATTTATTCGTCTGGAACCCAATTTTTGTTAGTTGTGGTTTTGTTGAATTCCAATTTCAATCAATTGGTTTTTCTCGAAATTCGGGTGAGTTGACTTTTTTTTCGAGAATTAAAAAATTAGAAAAATGTTTCAAAATTTTATTAAAGAAGCTGAGATAAATTGAATTTTGATTGGAAAAATTACCCCGGCTGTGAAATTATGTTATTTTTGAGAATTAAAAAAAATTTCAAATTTTCTTTTCAAACAATTAAAATTCTCAAAATTTAAAATGAGTTTTTTTTTTTTCCTAAATTTTTATATTTGGTAAAAAAAAACTTTTAATGGCACATACCGTAAACACTTTAATAGAACGCCACCCTTGATTTTCAACTTTGAGCCCATTTATCTCGGTTCCTGTCAAAGATGCGAAAAAGATAGCAACTGATCATTTTTATCATAATATCAGAAGTGTTTTGTCAGTTGACTACTTTTTGATATCTTTGACAGGAACCGAGATATATAGGCTCAAAGTGGAAGGTTGTGGGTGGCGTTCTATTAGAGTGTTTACGGTAATTTATAACTTAACTAATGGTATCTTTAAAAAATCTAGACCTTATAGTCAAGCAAATTTTTCCAAAAAAAAGTCCTTATTTCCGAAATTTTCTGTTTTTTTTTGTTAAATTTTGTAATTTTTTTCGGAACTTTATTAAAAATTACTGTATTTATCATGGTCTGAATTTGACTAATTTTACATAGCCAATATTAATGTGTAAAATGATTATAATTTGTAATTTTCATATTTTTTTGGTATTTGGAAAAATCCTAAAATCTCTCTTCTGGAAAAATTTTTTACATGTTGCAACATCCTAACTTTTATAGTTTCCCAAAATTAATAGCAATTTGAAAGTAATAATGTTTTCACTTTTCAAATGTTTAAAAGAATTCCAGATCCGTCATCTCATCCAAATCTGGACCTATTATTCTGACCCATGCAAAATCGAATTCCATAATTCTGAATGTTACTATGACAATAATTTTTACATGTTTACCAATTATTTGGCCACCTGGCTGGTTTGTGCATTGACTTTTGATCGGTAAGAAATATCTGTTTTTGAAGGAAAATCTAATTTTTCAGGTTTCTGGCGTTTTATGCGAAAAATTTATATGAGAATTCAAAGATAATTTCTGTGATTTTGGTGGTTGTGGCGGTGAGTTAACTTTGAGCTTGATTATCTCGGTTGCCGTGAAAGGTATCAAAATTTTGTTAATTGATAAAATGTAGGAAATTTTGTGATTAACATTTTATCAGTTAAAAATTTTTTGATATCTCTTATAGAAGCTGTGATAATTGAGTTCAAAGCAAGATAGTGCTATGATAACCCGTAGCCGGCCGTATTTTTGCTTGGATAACTTTATAAGTCTTTTAATTAGACAATTATCTTTTTTTCAGATTATCCTCACTTTAATTGTTCACCTAATTATCTATTCTAATGTTCCATTAGCTGGATATGTGCCTTCTTGTCAATATCCTCCGCAATTATCACTAAACTCTTTTCAACTGGCCACAAATATAAAAATTCTATGTTCAATTCTTATGTGTTTGGTGATCATGTTCCATTTGTATTTCATAATCAGACAGGATAAAAGGTACGGTTTTTTTTTTTGGAAACTTGGATTTTTTGAGTATTATGCGCCCTTAATATACGCCATTGGAGATCAGTGTTAGCATAAATAAACATAAATATTCAAAAAGTTCAAAATCTTGATTTTTTGGACTGTGAAATTGGAAGGTATATATTTTAGTATATGTGGGAGGTATCAAAAAGTAGTCAACTGATAAAATGTTCATCATAATATCTTTAACATTTTGTTAGTTGACCACTTTTTGATATCTATCACAGGAACCAAGAAAAATGAAGTCAAAGGTGTAGTCTACAATCTCAGCTGGGAGCGGCGTGGGACCTGGGCATACGAGTCCGATGCCTTCAGAACTAACTGTAACCATAACTTAAACCCTGACAAGATGATTTTTTTTTTGAAAAAAATCAAAGTTTGTCTGTTTCATTATCTCATTAATTTTGAAAAGATATCAGTTTTTTTCAGTGTGGTTATTAATTCACGATCAAAAGTTTTTTTTTTCCAGAATCCGTCATACTGTGTATGACACTTCTACCAGATACTCATCATTCGAGAACGTGTTAACCACAAAATCAGTCTTGACAATTGCGGTGACCCAGTTATTTTTCTCGTGTCTGTCTTCTATTGCAGGTTGGTTTTTGAAAATTTGAAAGCCGAAAAAAGTTTTAATTGGAAGTTTAAATTGGACAGCTGGCCGCGGCACAGCCTAGGTTATTCCAAATGGTTTTTTTTCTGTTTCAGTGTAAGCTTAAAAGGATGATAGGGTCATAATTAGACAACAAACACCCAAAAATTACTTTCATCATGGAATAAATTTTTTAAAAACTTGAAATTTCAAAACTGATGTGGAACATTAATTGTTGTAAATTTATTGATTTTCGTCTACAGTACTCGTCAATAAGCTACACAAAAAGTTGTTCTAGTTGACTTTCAGCCATTTTGTCAATTTTCAGAAATCTAGAACTCGGTTGTCAATTTTCCGATCACTTTGAAAATTTTTGAGTGTGTAAAACAGACCTGGATTGAAAACTTTGACTTTATAGAGTTTTTTTCCAGGTTTTTGAAAACATCTATTTTTCTCACTTTATCCGTGCAGAAACGGGCCAAGAAGTGGTGTCTTTCAGAAATCGGCAAATAGCTGAAAAACTAGGGATTTTCAAAAAATTCTGTAAATGCAGAGTTTTCAATCTAGGTCGGACAAAATCGAAAATTTGAATGGCAAGCTCCAGACTCAAAAAATGACCGAAATGACTGAAAATTAACTGAAAACAAAGTTTTTCGATATATCATGGACCGGTACTGTATTTCTATGTTCTCTTTTTATGAAAAATTTGGTATTGAGAATCACATCGATCACCGATTTTTCCCAATATGAAACTTCAAAATTAAATGAAGCAGTAAACATTTTGAAATTTTCAAAAAAGTTCAACGCATTTGAGAATTACAAAAACCAATTGAAGAAAAAATAGTTAAATTTCCGTTTCAAGTTTCTCATTTTTAGAGTTTTTCATTTTTCTTGCAATAGTCTTCATATGAACATTTTCAGTCACAATAGTTCGCCACTTTGAAAAGGGAATGACCGAATACACATATCACATTTTGACCCAATATGTTGCAGTAAGTTTGTTTTACATTCCCCAATTTATCTAGCTTCCTGTAAGAGATAACAGGAAGTGATTAACTAACATAATGTTTATCAAGTTATCAACAATATTTTATCAGTTTATCACTTTTTGATAGCCGTCACAGGAAGCGAGATGATTTATCAACAGCTGAGTTACGCGTCGCTCTGCCTACTACAGTCTACTTTGACCCAATTTATCTAGCTTTCTGTAAGAGATATCAAAAAGTGACAAACCGGCAAAATGTTTATCGTTTTATCAGTAACATTTTATTAGTTTATCACTTTTTGATAGCTATCACAGGAAGCCAGAAAAATTGAGTTAAAGTTATCGCCCCAAACTTTTTCCAGGGTCTTCTCTATGGCAACCTCTCGATTCCAATTCTAATCTACCTCAAAACCACTCAATGCATACGTTATCGACGTCAAAAAATTACAAAAATGACATTGGAACCAGATCTAATGGAAAGTCGAATGATATCATTGAAGGCTATGTGGGAGAAATAAACTTTATTTATTTATTCAAAAAAAAAAGTATCTTATCAAAAAACACTAACATCATGAACACCATTATTCGTCACTGTTTGGGTCACACTTTCAATTGCATTCATTTTGGATTTCAAGTTTTTTGAAACTCCGAAACATAAATTGCCATCTGGCGGCAGGAATAATATATAGCTGATTGGAGAGATTACGGTGGATATAGTGTACAGGAGGATTGGAAGAAACTGTACTTGGATTGGGTCCAGGATGTAGTAATGCATTGAGAAGAATATAAAAGTTCCAGAAGAAATAAAGATTGGAATAAGGGATTGGAGATGGATGGTCTGGAAAAATATACCTTGATCTTTGAGCTTAAATATCTGGGTTGCTATAAAAGGCTTCAAAAATTTGTTAACAAATAAAATGTAGCTGATAATGTGATGAACGTTTTACCAGTTGACTAAGTTTTGATATTTCTGACAGAAGTTAAGATGATTGAGCTCAAAGCAAGGTTGTTCCACGGCCAGTTTAGGCTGGCTATTAAATTTTAACTCACCTTTAAAAGTCTGGAATTGTAGATAAACGACCTTTTGGATAATCTCGCCAAGTTCCTTCTCAAAAAACCCATCAAACTAGATCTCACCACAAAATAAAACCCCAAAACCAACAGTCCACTAACTCCCAAAGATGCCAACACCACTTCACTGGATACTTGAATAACCCATCCGGCTAAAACTAGATCGCCAGGCTTTGAAAATATCTTTGGCGCCGTAAAACTCGTATTCTCAGTGAACAAATTGATCCAGATGATGTTATGAATAAGTAGAGGAAGAGAAATTGTTACTACAGAAAATCCAACGATTTTAGGTGTTGGACTTTTTCGATATAGGATGCAGTGTCGGAAAAGATAAGAGGCAACCATCCAGATTAAATTGAATTGGTGGAAACTGTTAAGGAAAATATGCCCCGTGAAGCAGGAGAAGTGGGAAAAGCACAGACCTGTGAATATGATGATAACCGAGTCGCCGGTGCTTAGGATTCTGAAAATTAGGATATCACAAAAAGCAAAAAAGAAAACAAAAGGGAATGCCTGCTGCTGGAATCGAACCAGCGTCGCCACGGCCACAACGTGGAGTACTAACCACTATACTAAGCAGGCCGAAAGTGTAGGTCACAATTTGCGCTTATCAAGGGGAGCACCGCGCCTCACTCTTTCTCCCCCTCCCTTGTGTACGCCCTCTACCTCCCTCCTTTCTGGTGGTCTCGTGGTGTAGTGGTTATCACATCTGTCTAACACACAGAAGGTCGGTGGTTCGAGCCCGCCCGAGATCAGTTTACATTTTGCTTTAGTTTTAAAGTTATAAAGGGTTTAGTTTTATATTTTGATCGCCCTAGAGTGGATTACTTTACTTTCTGAACACTCTTTCCAAAATTACCCAAAAATCACTTTTTTGTTCTGAATCCCCCTACCTTTCCAAAAGAAGTCCAGCAACTGCTGCTATCAAAATATCCACAACGGCTTTTACAATAATAACCGCAGAACAACATGCACTGTTGCTAGACAACTTGAAAAACACCATAAATATCAGAATAACATTTAAAACAACTCCGAAAATTGAGAAAATAGTTTGAATTAAGAAGAAATGCATTTATCAAGGGGAATAGAAATTTATAGAAATGGTCTGTTATTTATCTGAGAATGGGGGAAATGCCATACTTGTTTTGAACTGTGTAACGGAAATTAGATGGAGGTGTGTAGCAAGAAAAAGGGGTTTCTTGTGAGAACAAGAACATTGGTTTTTTGGGTACTTGAACTAGGGTTCACGATTTTTTGGAGAAAAAATGCTGAAAACCAGTTTCCCACTCTAGCGAAGTCAGAAATACAAAACAAACTCATAGAACACCTCAAAACAAAAGCAAAAAGAATCTGATCTCGGGCGGGCTCGAACCACCGACCTTCTGTGTGTTAGACAGATGTGATAACCACTACACCACGAGACCACCGGAAGGGAGAGGGTGAGAGAGCGTATAGGAAGCCGAGGAAGACGGGAGAGCGGCGCCACCGGTCGGTCGCCACTTTATAAACGCCACTGATGACCTACACTTTCGGCCTGCTTATTATAGTGGTTAGTACTCCACAGGTAGAGGGGGACTGCCGAAAAACGGGCCGTCAATAATGATAGCGCTTTCTTGACAGTTCATCATTAAACAGGTAATAAACAATAGAAATTCTTTATTAAACTAATAGTTTCTGTGGATTGTGTATTGTATTGAAAAAATAACTCTGATTTTTTCAAAGTTGAATTTTTATGATTAGAATGAGAGAAAACACATAAGAAATTACAAATTCTATAGGGAACAGAACTTCGATTTTCTATTTGTGTTTTCGCAAAATTCCAACTTTATAAAAATTCAAATTTTAAAATGCGAAGATTTTTTTCTGGTTCCTTTCGTTCTTTTTTCCTTCTTCGTTTCTCGTTTTCAATTCCTTTCGGTTCTCAGCATTTCTCTCATTGAACAGTATTTTCCGCTTTTATATGACTGCCTTTGAGAATAAGTAAAATTGATGAGTTCGTAGTATGAATTGAGCACCCAAAAAAACTGGCATATAAAAAATTTTTACATGTTTAAGGCTCAGCCACATTTTTAGCAGAGACTTCAAAAGTTCGACATATCGCATATTGATATGATATTTTTAAAGCCGATCGGAAGCAGAAAAAGCAACAGATTTTCGTATAATTTTTCATGCACGAACCTTGCAAAGCTGTTACTTTCCATAGCACTTGCAAAACATCACACTTGCGAAGTGTCGGCGAGGCGAATTTTCGCAACAGAATGAGAAAGTTAAGAGATTTCGATAGTTTTTGCTTCGGAGCATATGAAAACTCACCAACTCACCACATAAAAACCTCTGCAACGTTAAATTTGTTACTTTCCGAAGCAAAAACTTGCGAAACCTTAGAAACTTATGGCGAAACGAGTTTTGACCGATTTTTTCGCATTTTCAACTAAAACGCGAGGAAGAAAGTGCACGAATGTTTTTGATGCTTTTCTAATGCCAGTATTTAGATAATTTGAGCGAAAAATACTGAATTTCAATGAGAAAACACTTCGAAAAACGAAAAAAACTGTGAAAATTAGACGAGAAATTCGTTGAGTCTTGTGTCGCTAAACAAGGCGCAGGCGGGATTTTGGAGTGTCGTTGCGAACCGAAATTCCAAACCTCGTCAGCTAAAACGGCAATTAAAAACGAATGGTCGAGATTTTTGAAGAAAAAGAAACAAAAGGAGAACAGCATTTTCAGACAAAAATTGTACAAAGTTTTCAGAAAAAAATTTCGTCGGAACTCTTCAGAAAATGGGAAAATATGACCGGAAACACGAGCCTTAAACGGAGGATTATTATCACGAAATGACAACTCCAGTTACGATATTTTAACAGAAAATGCGAAAACATGCTTTTAGATGCTTTTAGATAGAAACATTCAGAAATTCATTTTACAGCTTTTTTTTCCAGCCGCCATCCACCAGTCAGCGCCTCTTCGATTGTCATTTAGCAGTCGTTTAACAACCTATTTTTTGAGGTGGTCCTATTTTAGGAAAATAAGATTCTGTCATTTCCTATAATCTAGTGGGGGTATGAGAAATTGTTTTCTGAATGATTTTCAATGAAAACCTTCAAGTCTGTTTTTTTTTTTTCCAAGGGGTTCCGACTGTCCGTCGACGGACCGTCGACGGCCCATCAGTTTTCCTTCGGCTGCCAACTAGCAGTCATTTGCCAGTTTGCGCCTCTTCAGCTGACATTTAGCAGTTTTTCAGCAGTCCCCCTCTACCTGTGTCCACGTTGTGGCCGTGGCGACGCTGGTTCGATTCCAGCAGCAGGCATTTGTTTTTGTTTTCCTTTTTTCTTCTTTTTATTGTGCAATTATGTGATTTTTTTCGTTTGACTATAATTTTTTAGACTGCTATTGAGATTTTTAGAACTAAAAACCACATTATTGGGTTCATTTCCGCTAAAAAATAGACTCAAAATAGATCTTCATTCATGAGAAATGCTGTTGAACGACATAAACATCTCCAAATTATTATTAGTATTGTTATTCCCTCTCGCCTCGTCTTCCGCCACATCAATGCACACATCTCGCTGAAGTTTTGGCGTAATTTTGTGCGACAAACAGAATAGTTCTGAAAAAAAAACATATAGAAAATTTAGTTATGTTCCCATTGGACCCTAAAATCTTCAAACTTACTGAAAACATAGCAACGATAGTGCTTGATAACATAGATAACTGCTAATGGATCAATAATAGGGTAGATGACAAAAGTGATCCCAGAAATATTGGAAAATAAGCCAAGTTCAAGGTTGAAAAGTGGGAAAATGAAGTAGATAAGGGATGGGAAGAATAGAAAAATGCATGGGACAGTGCTCTGTAACATTTATTTGTTTTTTATATAAAGCAAAAAAGAAAACAAAAACAAATGCCTGCTGCTGGAATCGAACCAGCGTCGCCACGGCCACAACGTGGAGTACTAACCACTATACTAAGCAGGCCGGAAGTGTAGGTCACCGGTGGCGTTTATAAAGGGGCGCCATGTTAGTGACGCCGCACACTCCCTCTCCCTGTGGCGCCACTTGTCACCTATACGCCCTCTCACCTTTGCACCTCCGGTGGTCTCGTGGTGTAGTGGTTATCACATCTGTCTAACACACAGAAGGTCGGTGGTTCGAGCCCGCCCGAGATCAGTTTCTTTTTTATTCTTTTTTAGGACGTTATTACCTGAATCAAAAGTGCCTGGAATAATTCTTTCTGCAATTTCATATGATTTGACAATTGAGAAGTTGCTTTTGACATTAGTCTATAAGTTCTAATGCCACAATAGAACATGACACAGACAGGTGTAATGGAAAGGAATAGCAGGAATAGACACCCCAAGGAGCACCAGTCTAGCAAGATCTTGTTGGTTAAAGGGTCGTGGGTCTGGAATAAAGATGTTTTTAGAAAAAAACTTTTAACATTTGATACAATACTTACATAATAAGTCATACGAGCATAGTAGATTGTGGAGTTGAGAGGTAATTCAAAAGTAGAGTATAATGAGTTTCTGGAATTTGAAATTTTGGATTACTGTATCTTCAAAAAGTACCCACCTATAACCATCGTTTCTTTCCAATTCCATAAGGTGACCACAGATGAAAACTATGATTCCAAAGAATATGGAAATCAAAATCATAGCAGTATACCATATAGGCATCCTCCAAGAGTCGAAAAGTTTGAGTTTTGGGCTTCTGGAAATTTGAAAAAAAAACATTTCGGTTTCAAAAAGTTTAGATTTCTGTTCTGTTCTTTTTGGTCAAATGTCTGGTTTCAGTTAAGTTGTCAACTTTTTTATGTACGCGGTCGACCGGCTCAGCTATTCGGTTAAGAGATTGAGCTACGCAGTCTACAGTACTCACTTGGTCATTGCGAAATAACGGTATACAAATTGTACGGCTAGCGCGACAAACATCATACAATTCGAGGAACATGCGAGACCTGAAAATAAAAAAAAATTCGGTTTCATATTCATTTTTTCAAGTTTTTATATATCCTGACAGTTTTTATTCTATCCTGACAAGACGATGATTCATTCCCCCCTCCCGTCATTCCCCCCTCCCATCGTCAAGGCGAACGGTCGCACCCTCTCCCCCTCTCATATCGTTTTTTCCGGAAATTTTGAGTTTTTGAAACTACAAATATCAGTTAGATCATTTGACTCATTTTGAGGCTCAAAATTCAAAAATCTAAAACACAAAAAAATTGAAAACCAGTAGTAGTTTTTCTTGTCACCAAACATTATGAGATGACATACTTGGAGTTACAAATTTCAAAAAAGTATAATGTTTCAAAAAGTTGAGAATTGAAAATTAAATTAAGTTTTGGGAATTGATTGTCCGTTGATACCATTCATACTACAAAATTTGTTTTCAAATTCCAGAGATTCAAAATTTAAGCTTCAAAACTTCCAAATTCCAATTTGAATGAAAAGTTCAGGATTTTAATAAAATTCAGAAAATTTCGAAAAATTCCAAATTCCAAAGTTTCCAAATGCCAAAAAAGTCAAGCAGAAAGTTACAAATTTTTATGTCAAATTATTGAAAATCTGGTTAAAATTTTGAAAGTTCCACTCTGGAAATCGGGATTCTCAATTGAAATATTATCAGAAATCAAGTCTGGAAATCAGAACTTCCGGAAAAATTCAATTTTAGATGTCAAAACTGTTTTTAAAAAATTAGAAAATTCTTAAAAATCCTCGGTTCAAATTTATAACCTTTTTAAAATTCAAAATTTGAAAAAAAAATTCACGGCTTCAAATCTAAAGTTTGAACTTTAAAATTATGAAGACTTCGATGCACATCATGCATTTTTCCCCAAGAAAAAATTAAAAAATTCTGATTGAAAATTACGAATTTTTAGTTCAAATTTTCTGAAAATTGTCAAAAATTCTAGAATTTCAACTGGAAAATCGGACATTTCATTTCAAAAGTTCTCAAAGAGTATGCCTAAAAACTTCTAAATTCCTGAAAAATTCAGTTCAATTTTTTCCAGAAATTTTCACTGCTTCAAGTCGATAGTTTGAATTTTGAAATAACAAAAAATATGCTACCTGGCTTTTTCAAAAAAAAAATTTCAACAAATTTTTTCCAAAAATCCCAAACTCACAAGTCAAAAGCATCATTCCCTTCACAGGCAAACCCAACAAATTTCGTCTAACAAAAATGGAAATTGATGTTTTAAAAGTGAAATAATTGACATTTAAAAATAGGGTAATACAGGAGAACATACACTTTGATAGGTGAAAAATGCCATTAGATATCGGTAATTCCCGAATTTTTTCGGGGATTTTGTGAAAATACAATAAAGAAGAAGTAGGTTGTTTGGAACAGCGAAAATCACGGAAACAATTTCTGCAATACTGGAAATTTCCAGCCAAATTGAGCCGAGCATTTTTTGCAGGGAATAATAAAGTTTAGGTTTTTCTCAACAAATATATACTACGCCCTTTTTTCTCCCAGGAGATGTTTTTTGTTCTGATCAGAGATGTGAAAACATCTGATCAGCTGAAAAATGTCTTTTCTTTTTTTCTTAGTTCCGGTTTTGAGTTATCAGAGACCTTGTGAATAAGTCATAATGACGAGAAAGTGCTGTCTAGATCAGCTTTTGCAAAAAAACATATGAATTGAATCGAATTTGATTTTATTTGATTTGAAGGAGCAAAAAGATCAACTTGACTTGATTTTTTTGGAGTGTGAAATGATGAGTATTATATCTCGGTTCCTGTAAAAAATATTAAAAAGTTGTCAATTAATAAAATGTTGCTGATAATGTGATAAACATTTTATTAGTTGACCACATTTTGATATCTTTTACAGTAACCAAGATAAATTGGGTCAAAGTAGGATGTCTTAGATTCTTAGATTTTGAGATTCTGAGATTCTGAGATTCTGAGATTCTGAGATTCTGAGATTCTGAGATTCTGAGATTCTGAGATTCTGAGATTCTGAAATTCTGAGATTCTGAGATTTTGAGATTCTGAGATTCTGAGATTCTGAAATTCTGAGATTCTGAGATTCTGAGATTCTGAGATTCTGAGATTCTGAAATTCTGAGATTCTGAGATTCTGAGATTCTGAGATTCTGAGATTTTGAGATTCTGAGATTCTGAGATTTTGAGATTCTGAGATTCTGAGATTCTGAGATTCTGAGATTCTGAGATTCTGAGATTCTGAGATTCTGAGATTCAGAGATTCTAAGATTCTGAGATTCTAAGATTATAAGATTCTGAGATAATTCCTTGACAACATTATGTTAATAAATTAAATATTTTTTGCAGGTTGAATTAAAAATAAGTTAATGAAATTTTGAAGCCTGAAATTGAAGTATTGAAACATAATTTTTGTTTTGTTTTACCAATATCTTTGTAAAATCTGTTTCCAATCAACTGGACTGACAATCAAAGTAAATCAAAGATTTGAAGTTTTCGGTTTTCGAAATTTATCGAAAAACTTCCAAACGCAGAACAATCAAAAATAACAAAAAACTTGAAAATATGATTTTCATGAAACACGAAATGTTAATTGAATTTTTTGTTTTCCTAAGATAAACTGCACCTTTGACCTAACTTATTTCGGTTACAGTAAAATATACCAAAAAGTAGCCAACTGATAAAACATTGTTTCTCTTGTGACGAGCATTTCATCAGTTGACCACTTTCTGATATCTCTTCTATGAACCTAGGAACCCTCGTCGAGGAAGCCAATAGAGAAGATGGCCAAGTAGCATTGGAAAAGATCTCGGAATCTCACGAACAACCGTGTGGAAAGCCACCAAATGGTTTGATAAATTGAATACGGCCAAGATCCTTCTGAAAAACGTAAAACCTTGAACTTTGGTTACTCCGGAGATAATCAAGGCCGTCAGAAAATGAATTCGTCAAAATCCCAAAAAATCATGAAAACAATGAGTCTGGAGCTGTGATTGAGCAGTAAATCAATCAGATTAAGTGTAAAAAGTGAGCACAGACGGACCTTATATCGTGTTCAAAAAACTAGAATTCTGCCGAGCAATATCAATCTGGTACGCATCCAGAAGTGCAAACCTCCATTTGCTGGCACGCGTCAAAATGAACACATGAAGATGGTGTACGCCGACGAGAAACTTTTTACGGTGGAAACCAAATTCATATCAAATAACTATTGTGTTTCTTACCAGAGATCTGAACTTTCTAATGAGCATAGTAATATGACCAACAGAGCTACCTATTCTTAGAACGACGTCGTGTTTGGTGCAACAACCTCCGAATTCTGATTTTTGTAGATCTTGGGAGGCAAATCGACTGAGAGTACTAGTTGGAGAGATTTTTGAGTGGCATGTGCTTCCGTGGACCAGATTCTATCTTTAAAACCATGTTTGGGCTGTTCAACAGAATTCTGCTCTTGTCTGCAAGGCGAAATTCGTACCACCAGGTTACATGACCAACTTTTCAAGATTCAGCACGAGTTGCAAACGGACAGTCACGTCGGCAGACATCAGGGTTGCAACCGGCCGGGCCGGGCCGAGATTATTTTTTCTCCGGCCCGGCCCGGCCCGGCCGGTTCGGCCGGTTCGGCCCGTTCGAATTTAAGAAAAAACAGAAATTATTGAAGAATTATTTGAATTTATTTCTTAACAAGTAGCATAACAATGTAAAAACCGTATAAATGAACAAGGGGAAACAAAGAAATGGAAACCGAGGGAGAAAATTAAAGCTCATATCAACCAATCCAACAAAAAAGATAGAAAAGTAACATAAAATTAACTATTATGCTTGTCTGAGAAAAAAAAGGTTAGGGTTTTTTTTTGCAGTCTGAATACGGTAGCGATATCGAAGCGGAGAGCCTAAATAGCACACAAACGGTGGAGACGCAGACACTTTTTCTCTGCGTCTCAACCTTTTTTTTCTCAGACAAGCATAATAGAAAAATCACTACAATTAGTGAGAGAATCAGTCGAGCCAGTGTGGAAATTTCGTGGCTATTTGCGAACCCAGAACGACCATCTCCACACGCTTGTACAGTAATCTTGTTCTTGTTTTATCTAACAAAAACGACGCAGTGCTGAACGTAGTCTCACACATGGCTTCACTGGGAACAATCGAAAAAACGAAAAGTGCTGCTGAGTACAGTCCGGGGTATTCGAATCTTTTTCTTTTCCAATACTCCTCAACCGATTCGTTCGTTGAAGGATCGTAGTACTCGGAGAGATATCTTGAGATTTCCGAAGAAGTGGATGTTGAGTTCGCTTGGTCACTGACCGAATGATATAACTTTGCAATTAGATTTGACTTCTGCGATGAGGTGGGTTGAGTAGTGGAGGGAATAGCTGATGCATTTACTTTGTGACAAGATCAAATAAAAAATAAAAAATAAAATTGCAAATAAAAATGGCGCGCGTTCAAATATTAATTAATTGCCGGCCGGCCGGGCCGGGCCGGGCCCTGGTTTTTTTCCCTCGGGCCGGCCCGCCGGCCAGCCCGTCAGATTGCAACCCTGGCAGACATGAATCTGCTGGACTATTCCTTATATGTAATTTCTCAGTCAAGAGTCCGAGCATTCCACAACCCATTTTGAAGTCATTGGAAAACAGTTTGGACTTAGAATGGGACAAGTTATCCCCAAAACGCCCTCGTGCTACGGTAGAGGCGTTCCAGAAGAGACTCACGGATTTTGTAAAGAACAACGGCAATCGCATCGAACAACTTTTATAATTTCATTTTTAGAAAGTATTCAGGAAACTATTGTCAAATTTTCAAGCCTATTCAAGTATTTTTGGAGAAGTTACAGCACTTTGAATGTGTTACCATACTTTTGGACCACCCTGTAGTTTGAAATTTCCTCGAAAAGTTCATTTTTTGGTTCTCAGAATTTCTCGAAAATCTTTGTAACAGTTTGAAGAACTAACAATAAAATGCCAAAAAATTCTGAAAATTACAATTTTCATGAAACACGAAAAACATGCCCGGTCCAACACTATCAAACTGATAGCTCCAACTGCACGATCCCATTGGCATTCCAACTTCAAGACTACCCAGTTCCACGTCCATTCTCCTTCATCTACAAAATTCTCCGCAAAAAACCAACTGTCCAGCTGTGTCCATTCGTTTTTCACAGTATTGCGCTGAGCTTATTCGCCTCGATTTTAGGACCGTTCGGTGGATTCTTTGCTAGTGGATTCAAGAGAGCTTTCAAGATTAAGGAAACAGAAAACTAGAATTCGAAAAAACAATTTTCATTTTAGGACTTTGGAGATGTGATCCCAGGACATGGAGGATTGATGGATCGATTCGATTGCCAACTTCTGATGGGAACATTCGTTATGGTTTACATCCACAGCTTCATTCGAGTTCCAGACGCTTCCAAACTCATCAAACAAATCATGACACTCGAGCCAAACGAACAATTGGATATTTTCAATTTGTTAAAGTCCGAGCTATCCAAGACTGGATTACTGTAATCTTGATGTACCTGCTGCTGCTCCCCACTCATTCCATGTGAATCTCAATGGAATCGCTCTCTAGTCATTCCGATTCCTCTACTCCTTTTTCCCTTCGTTCTGTTAATATATGCTTTAACTTGTATCTCTATTTTACTTTATTACTATATACTTTCCCAGTCTCATTTCTCCCGTATTTCTCCCATTTTCCCCAGGCTTCTGTAATGGTTGTGAGCTCTCAAAAACGCACATAATTTTGTAGTTTTAGTGCTTCTGTTAGCTGACTGTGTAATTAATAAAACAATTTTGATTGTTATTTTCCCCTAGAACATTCGAACATGTAAATAATGACATCTGTAATATTATTTTTGGTGATTTATTACAGCGAAACAGTAAGGTTTAAAATGTTTAATTTTCTAGAATCTATAAATGTCTGAAATTGAGGATCTCAAAAATCAAATCATTCAAATAGACACTTTATTAGCAGAGGAGAAGGATGATGTCGCTAGGAGAGACTTAGAACAAACAAAACCAGATCTCCTAGAGCTTGTAGAGCTGATGGAAGAAGACGAAGAATCACAAGAAGGGACCAGCGAAAATGCGAAGGAAGAAAAAGAAGCGGTTGAAGAAAGAATAGAAGACGATAACTCGACAGGTATTTCAATTTCTTTCGAGTTCTGTCGGAGCGCCGTTCGTGCATTTGCTCGTCAACCTTTTAGAGAGTGTTTGCGTACGCACCATTTTATTTTATGACGCATTTTTTAATTTTGTGAGTTACAAAATGTTTGCGTACGCAAATGCACGAATTCGGACGGCGGCCGCCTATTTTGAAAGCCTATCGGATTTCAGAATTTTCAGACACTCTTCTTGGCTCGAGATGCATGGCACCATTCGATTCCGATCGCTCACTTCCTCTCCACACAGCCATCATAATGGATATCGAATCTTCTAGCCGTGTCCGTGTTCTTTTCTCTCATCCAACTTGCCCAGCAATGAAACCATGTTCCCATTTTTTGGCATCCACTTGTCGATACAATGAGAATTGTCGGTTCAGTCATGGCTATTCAGTAGAATTGGAAAGAATCGAAGATTATCAAGAGCCGGATTTTATGTCGATTGTAGAGCAAGGTCTTGTACTAGTCAAAGGTTCTTCAGAACTGTGGGAAATAGGAAGAATCAGTGCGATCGATGGACAGAACGTTGCAGTAAAGTTATTGAAAAGTGGAAGTGAGGTATCGTCAAAACGGAAAGACTTGGTTCCATTGGGAGAAATCGAAGAGAAAGAAAAAAAGACGAATCGTGGAAAGAGCTAAAAAAAGAGACACTTGGAAACGTATCAGTTGGAGAGTCAGGAAATTGGAATGTTGGGGGAATCGGGATGAAACTGATGGCTAAGATGGGATACAAGGTTGGCGAAGGTCTAGGAAAACGAAGCGATGGGATTGTGCATGCTATTCAAGCAAGAATCTGTGCGAAAAGTAAATAAATTATTACAGAGATTGGTATAGAATTGATTTCAGATGCTTCCCTTGACGAAGTGATGACACGCAAACGGAGAGTTGTTGACAGAAAGGATAAATCGAAACGAATTATGATTCTGAAAACGTCCGACGAATCCGAAAAAGACATTTTTGCGTTCATCAACCGAAAATTGGAGACAAAATCCGAGCGAACAATGGCAGATGTACGGAAAGAGAAAGAGGAAATGGCTGGATACACTTCAAAAGCTCTCGGCTCTAAAAAAACTCGATCTGGAATCAGAGCTGAAACAGTTGCTGGGGAAGCAAAGAAAATTGAACGACGGAATTCGAAGGAACAAAAATGATAAGAATACAGTGCTAAAAATGAGCATATCTCTTCGAGAAGTCGACAACCAAATCGCCAGTGTAAACCGGAAATTGGGCAGAGTGAAGAATGAAGTCAACTCTCGAAATTCCAAGAAGAAAGACGAGTTTTAACTTATTAAATTGTTAATAATAAAAGAATTTGTACCTTATTAAACCGAATCCATTCATTTATTCACATGCTGACTATAAATATAAAAAGTTAGTTTGTAAATGAACTATTAAAAGTGAACTATTTACAGGAAAATAAAATATTTACAGGCCATAAAAGGGATTATAATCCATTCCATTAGTCGTCGCGAGGGGCCTTGATTCGATTGAGCCACGATTGAGTTGGTCTCGCACAATACGGCGTCTTTGCGAGAGTCAGCTTCATATTTCGCTTGCGCTGAAAAATTAGATTTAAGAATTACCAAATGAATCACGAAACCTACTGATGGTGAGCCAGGTTGGTTGCCAGCCTTTCGAAGTTCAACTGGCTCCGCAGTTTTGGGACGTGCTGGAATCTCTGATCGGAACAATGCTCTGTTGACAAGTGGAACTGATGCTGGACGATGTTCCGACTCGGGCGACGTATCAAGGCTCAGTTCTTCTTCTTCGTCGAATCCAATAGTGCTTGGAAGCCGATCTCTGACTGCATTTGTCTTCTGAACTTCCCATGGGTGCAAAAGTCCTGACCGAACCGTTGCTGGTGTTGAAGTATGCGCTGGTGCGAACATTTGTGCTTTGACTGGCGTTGCAATGGGACGGTGTGATTGCTCTCCGAAGTCGATGTGCTGTTTGAGGGAGACAGCGGCATGTAGGAAATGATCATAGGGCATAGGCGTCGACTGTTTCTGAATCTTGAACTGAAAAAATACATATTCAGCTATTCAGAAGTTTAACTAAACTAACATTTGGCGTATGCATTCCACTCGAGTTGAAACGAGGAGCCCGTCCCGGAGTCCTTGGAATGCTCAACATCTGCAAAAATAATGATTTTGATTCTGAATAATGAGGGAAAAAAAAAGATTTTGGTCGGAGTAGTAATGAGAAGTCTTTAAATGAGAAGTTTTAAAACTATTTAAAAAAACCACGACGGAAAAAATTTTGCTCCGCAAGTTATCGTAGGATGAAGTGTGTGTGTACTAACATAGGTTACAGTATCCCCCAAAAAGAGAGCACCAACTGGGAGGAAAAGAAAAAGTGGGAAGAACCATCTGGGAGGAAAAATGGGTGGAGCCTAATTTGCAACCCTGGCACGGTTTTGCCGCATGGTTTTTTTCTTGACCAGGTACCAAATGGAATTCCACCACA